TAGGGGCCATGGGCCACGGCGCGTTAGGGGTCATTCAGAAAGTGAAGTGCGTCCTTCTTTTGCCGTTACGAAACTGCCACGTTCAGCCATTGCAAACGCGCATGGCGCCTGATAGGTAGGCAACATTTTTCCTGCAGTGCATGCGTGTACTGCGGGCTGGCCTACCTAGAGTCTCGCAGGCGACGAGCTTCCGTAATTTACTAAATAAATCTGAGAAAAACGGACGTACTTCCAAGACGATCCCTTACATGCGGAGTGAGAAGGCAAACCCGCACACTGCTGTGTTGAAGCTCTGACACGACTTCTCAAGTTTTCAAAATTATGAAGGTTGACGGACATTTTTGACAGATTCCTTGGAGTGCTTCAGGGCTCTATTGCCATAGAACATCTGACAATAAGCAACACGCGCTACCTTCACCCTACGAAAATGCAAAAACATGGCTTTGTTCTAAAAAAAAGACAGTATGTCTTGTTTAAAATTAGAACAATTGTTACCTGTAACTACTGAAAAGGTCGGTTTATGGAAGGTAGCCCTGCACTGCAGAATCTGGTAATGGGCGCTGTACCTCAAACGGCCATCATCAATGCGCTACAAATGCATCTGAGACCTGCCCTGTTTTGACACGTCACCTGAGACAATGTTGTTGGGGTCCTCGTCCATTCTGCCGCCGTCCCGGGAAGAGGCGCCCGTCCCCGCCTCCACCCTGGTCGCGAGGCCACCCGGACGCTGCTGCGGGCGCACTCGGGGGAGGGGGAGGGCCTCCGGGTCGTCACGGAGGTGGGAGTGGAACAGCAGGGCGCTGCCCAGGTCGGCGTCGACCAGCGCCTCCACCCAGTCGCGGGACATGCTCGCCCCGCCTCGCGCTCGCCCTAACCCCCATGAAGGAGGACAACTCGTTCGGGGGCTCCGCGACTCTCAGATTCATAATCATGTCGGGGTAGCTGGTGCATCTTCACCAGCTCCCGCAAGGAAAAGTCCCTTTGTTGGCTTGCAGGCGTTTCCATGGTTGGGCAGGTTTGAATGGGGTGGTTAAAAATGAGGCAGAGCTCACAAAAAAGTGATAAGAGCACTTGAGTTCTGAGGCCAAAGCGGCCGATTGGGTAAGAAAGAACTGCCGTCGAAGTGGTTGAGTGGTTGTTAGGTGGAAATAATAGGAACTTTCAACTACATCAATAAAAACAACAATTTTATTTAATTTGGTTTCGTAAACATTTTATTTTCATTCATAAAATTAATAACTTAAATCACTGGACGATTTTGTTTTTAATATTCAAACGAAAAAGAACTTAATGCAGAGAGATCACAGCCTGGAAAAGTATGTGAATATTTACATGTGTGTATGCTTCCCCCCTCTCCCCTCCCTACATTTCAAACACAAATAGCTGGGACTCAAACATCCATGTTTTGTGTCTGAAACCACTTTTATCAAAAAAATATATTCCATCACTTATAAAGGCGGATTTTTCTTCTTGTTTTTGAGCAAACAGACAATGAATAATCTGGTAAGATTTAATAGAAAGAACCTCATTGGTATTTTTCACTTCCCTAGTCATGATTTAAGAGGCACTAGAACAAGTAGCAATGGCTACAACCAGAAAGCTTGTACTTGAATGGTATTAGTTTAACTGCATGTTTTTCAAATCTTGAATCATTTCTCAGATCAACACTTGAAGAAAACATAGATAAAATATAAATAATAAAAAAAAAGGTGAAATCTACACTTTTCATGAGTTTAACAGCCTCAGGAACAGCACTAAGCTAACTCCCATATCAATTTTTACACATACTTTTTTTTCAAATGTACACTACTAGAATCAGTTATAGATGTTACTTTGTATGTACATATAATAATTTTTATAGGTCTATTTATATTGTAGGTACCTTGGACTAAAGTTCAAACACTTTCTGTACAAAATATATACAGTGAGCGGAGGGTGACAGTCAACTTGTCTACTTCTAATAAAGCCACTTTGGAGCCAATTTAGGCTACATGTTCATCTGGACAATAAGACATTTAAAACAAAATTAACTTTGTTTTTGATTTTAAGAATAATTAAGAAACAATATTCTGACATCATGCAATAGAACTTGGTGGTAACAAATGTGACAGACATGAATCTTCTAAATAAGCACTTAACTAGACAAGTAAAAATAACCAAACCTTCAAATTTTCCCCCGAAAGTTTGATTAGGTTACTTATTAAAATTTATATTTTTAAAATAATAGTTCCTTCTGCAGACATCAGTACAACAACATCACAGTGACAGAGAGAAATGTGAATGTATGCGACTTCACCTTCGCCTTCGTTCATTTGGTCGGACTGAGCCGCATCAACATCACAGCTTGATAACAATAGCCTGACAGGCTCAATTAAATTTCCACACATCACGAAGAAGAAGACTATAAATTAGAATTACTTACTGAACTGTTTTAAGGTAGATTTGTATAAACATTTCTCCCTAAACATTAACAACTTTTCTCAACATAGACATAGCAAGTAGTGAATAAGAGGCGCATCAAATGGCATATCAACTAACATCAAGATATAACAATCTTTAAAACAACTTTTACAAGCAAACATACATTCATCATATTAGCATAACCAGCTTTGACGGTAACTTCATATAATGCCCTCGGACCCTCTTGCTATTTTAGTATGCCATTAGAGGTCATAATTGGAGAGATCATCAAAATTTATAATTAAATCGTCATAAAAAGAGACTGTGAAACCACATGCCCACCTCCAACCCAACATACTTGCATCAAGCAGGCTAATAAAGAGCACCAGTCCAAAAGTAAAACAAAACCATTCACTCATCAACACTATCACACACACACACACACACAAAATCAAGAGACAGGAAGTACCTCCTGTTCCATTTGTCATTCAGAAAAAAATTAAAGAAAATCTCAAAATTTAAAATGAATGAAGCAAGTATGTTTAAGGCTTGACAGTATCTTAAGATAACGTGAAAAGATAAGGTATGTAAACTATAATGATAGAATGTATAGATACACATATTAAGCTATAGAAAAATGTTACAGGCATACTACACAGCAAAAGGACCAAGAAATCTTACAATGATCCATATAACAAGGGCATCTTTTATAGTGCACAGCTGAGATCAACAATATAAAAATCTTTGTAGGGCAGCTGCAATTCCCAAACAGCAGTCTGTTTAAGAATGAAGTCTACTTAAGATAAGTTGAATACATGGCTTCCGTTAATAGTCAAGTAGGAATAAGAGTGTATATATTTTGGTCAAAGTCACAATTAGGATTAAATAACGTTTTCACATGTGCAATGAGCTGTTTCAAACTTACACAGTGGCAATAATTATAACTAGGTGAGCAAGATTAGCAACTCTGTGGAATAGATCTGGTGCAATTCGAGCTAAACTCTCGTTGGCAAATTCACAAGACGGGAACACATGGACCACATATGCAGCCTGGAAAGAGGAGACAGAAAAAACATTGGTTAATACAAATGTAAAATAAAAGTACATTGAAAGGGGGAAAAGTTGAGAGTTGATTAAACTAACCTGCTGTGATCCAGGAGCGGCAATGTTCACAATACCAGCGGCTTGCTTCTGTTGAAGATATGTTATGAAAGCAGTCTGGAGATTGTTGGATTGCTGAAGAACATCCATGGTGTCTCGTCCACAAGGGAGAGCCAAGAGCATACAGTGCTCGTTTTCAGTCTGCATCTTGCGTGTTACTCCGTCGATCTGTGTCTGCTCCAGACGCATTCTCTGGGCAATCCTTAGTGGTGGTGTCGTTCCATCGCCGTTGCACGGCAGCGAACCACGCGCGACGACGGGGTTGCCAAAGACGAAGTGCATCTGGACCGCAGCCTGGTCGTTCTTCAAGGCCAAGAGTCCTTGCCACATTACAGGATAACGCTGGGGAGAGGAAAATAGAAACAGTCGTGTCAAACATAAGGAAAAGCAGGCAAAACAGAAACTAACAAATCGATCATTATATTGTAATTTAGGCTCACCTGCAACAGCATCAGAAGGGAATCGTGCTGCGCGGGCACCTGGCCGGCCACGGGCGGGGTGGAGACATCGCCCATCGGCGGCCTGCTGGACACGGCGACAGCGGTTTCAGGGCCCGGCTGCAGCTGTTGTTTTTGCTGCTGCTGCTGCTGCTGCTGTTGCTGTTGTTGTTGCTGCTGCTGCTGCTGCTGCTGCTGTTGCTGTTGTTTTTGCTGCTGCTGCTGTTGCTGCTGCGGCGTGGAGGGTGCACCAGGAAGGTGGATGGCGGCGGGCCTGCTGGCCACGGCGTGCACGTGCGCGGGCGGGGGCTCGTCGGCCGCCGGGTAGTAGCGCGCCGGCGTGTGCAGGTGCGTGGGCAGGCCGCGGTACACGGTGGCGAGGCTCGGCGAGTCCGTGGCGCGGTCATGCGGCGACTGCAGGCCGTGCGCCGTGGTGGGCGCGGCCAGGTTGCCGGCCAGGGGGACGGTCAGGGGGACGGCCAGCGGCACCGTCAGGGGCACCGCGCCCGCCGCGCTGGCGGGCCGGCGCAGCTCGATGGGCGGGCTGCTGCCCGGCGGGGCCGCCAAGGGCGACGCCAAGGGCACCACCCTGCCGTCCTCCAGGTCGGGCTCCGTCTTGGGGACGATGGGGCTGCGCGGCGGCGGCACCACGGCCCCGGTGGCGGAGGCGGCGGCCGCGGCCAGGTGGTACGGCAGCATGCCGTCGCCCCGGAGGTACTGGTACATGACGGTGGGGTGCACGTACTGGGCGTGCTGAGACAGATCGTGGACGCCCGGCGGCGCGGCGCGGACCATGTGCGGCGGCTGGAACGGGTGCGACACCACACCTTCGCCCTATAGAGAAAAGGAGAAGGGAGAAGGTTCGTTTAGAACAGACATCCAACCGATGAATCGGTACCAGAGGTAATAGTACAACAAAGCAACAAACTACAAAATGGGAAAGAAGCAAAGGATAAGGATATTTGAATCTGTGCGTATAAGTCAAAATTTTCAATTAACAGCTTCTATTTTTTTTTAAATAAAAATTTAGAACTTCTGTAGAACATGCAGCCAGTAATACATTCAATTCATTGAGGTAAAATTACACTTTAAAAGAAAGGCCACACAAGAATTCAATCTGGTTATTAGATTGTTAAATGGAATAGAATAGACTTGTGAAGGAGTAATTATCTGACCTGGTGAGCAGGTGGAGGGCTTTGAATGACCCCATGCGTCGTTCCCACATTGTTGACATAGTGAGTGCCGGGAAGGATTTTCGGAGCCAAGCCACCAGAAGCATGCTGAGCCACACACCCATGTTAAAACCCAATTAGTTAAACTGTTTTAAAGCACATAGGAAGAGGGGAACGGAGGAGAGGGCAGCCTAGCATGGCGATTACAATGTAAATATTTTCTTGGAAAATATGCAAAACAGTTTGTTACTGAATTGCACACAACATGTTATTCAAGCAAAAATTCAAAATAAAAACAAAGGCTATTTTTCAGAGCCCAAGAAAATCTGTCATAAGCTCAGCCCGCCCAAAACGGCTTGAACACAAATTTTCCTTACCAACGGCATGGCCAGAGAGGACAGTAAACTAAAAGTCTGAGTCTGTGTTCCACCGTTCAGTGAGGATACTGGTGAGATTTGAGAAGCCCTTAGAGGAACCAGATTTGGGGGTTCAGATTCCATCTGCAAGAATCCACATATGTAATGTAGACCACAGAGCAGTGAACAGTCATAGGACCCCTGAACATTGAAGCGGAGCAGAGCAAGGGTAGGGGAGTCTAAGGCGAAGGTAAACGGACAAATGGAGGTATAGGTGCTGCCCTCAACCCCAAAGCAGTGCGAAACCAAGTGACGGGAAGGAAAGAAGCGTAACAATCGTCGACGACTCACCTGAGACTTGGCCTGCGCGACGGGGACGACGGTAGCTCTGTAGTTGGCGGCACCGGCGATGACGGGCTGCTGGGCTGGCTTGTGCAGCGGTGGGCTGGCCACGGCGCCTGCAAACGGCTGCTGCTGCTGAGGCTGCGCCTGCTGCACCCCGTGGATGTGGTGCACCTTGGGTGGCTGGACGAGCGACAGCGGCTTGACGCCGACAGACACAGTCTGGGGCAGCGTTTTGACCACCGCCCCTGCAGACGACGACGCCAGCATGTGCACCGCCGGATTGGTCTGGATCACGACGCCCGCGGGCTGCGGCAGAGCGACGCCCAGCGGTGCCTTGGGGGTGTTCTTGGCTTGGTTGACCGAGTTCAGGATGTGCGCCTTGGGTGTCATGGGCGCCACCGAGGTGGGCTTGTTCAACGGACCACTGAAAGACAAGGAGCAACGTTGTTAAACTTCAAGGTCGAGGACATGCGGCGAAGCAATATCTGTATATGCGTGTGCACTACTTACCCTGCTTGCACAGTTGCCACTTGGTTGACCTTGGCCAAAGAAATTGGCACTGAGTTCGGTGTTTGTTGGATCGTCGTGGCCGCCTGCAGCAGGTGGATTTTGGGGATCTTTGGGATCTTGGGGTTCAAAGCCTGGGGCGAGATCTGGTTGACGATGGGCATGGGCGGCTTGCTCGGGACCGAGGTGGCAATGCCCATCTTGTTGGCCGTCACCAAGGGCACCGGCGTGTTGTTCATGGGCTTGGGCGACGTCAGGAGCGGCGCAGCGCCCGCGATGTTGCTCTTGAGTATCATGTCGCGAGGCTTTTGTGCCACCTGAGGCTGTCCAACCACCACGTTCACATTCACCTTGGGGTCGGGCTGGACGACACACACCTTGGCAGCCTGCGGCACCGGGGTGCCTGGCATGGGAGCCTGTAGAGCACAAAATAAACATGAAGCAGGGCGTCGAAGCGAAAAAGAGAAGGGGTGAGAGCAAGATTTGTAAGGGAGTTACTTACCACGACCAACTTGGGTTGCTCCTGGGGTGGAAGCTGGCCCGGCTTGCCGTAAACCACAGGCTTTTGAGCTAGTAGTTGTGCCGCGTTGGCGGCAGCCTGAAGTTGCTGCTGCTCCTGCTTGACGGCCTGGGCCAGGACGTGCTGCTTTAGGCTCTGCAGCGGCTTGACGGTGACGGACTGGTTCGGCCACACCACTGACGGTGGCTCCGACTGTGTCGAGGTGGTGGCTTTGGACACGATGATGGTAGACGGCTTGACGGCCACCGCGTCCACCGAGCCCGGCACAGGCACGTACTGCCCCTCCTCGGCCTCCTGCATGGGGATGAGCACGCCCGTCTCCGGGCAGATCATCATGGTGGGCTCGTTGTGCTCGTCCAGGGACCCGGCGCTGCGTCTCTTCCTCTGCTGTTCCTCGCGCTCCTTCTCCTTCTCGAGGACACGCGTGGTCAGCTTGCCGGGCGCCTTGAGGTTGGCCAGAGACGAGGGCATGGTCGTGGTGATGGTCGTCGCCATGCCTGTAGCCATGCTGGTCACCAGGCTCGTAGCCATACTTGTAGTCAGGCTCGTCGCCAAGCTTGCAGTCAGGCTCGTGGCCAGGCTCGTAGCCATGCCTGTAGCCATGCTCGTAGCCATGCTTGTTGCAAGGCTCGTCACAATGCTCGAGACATTGGCCGTGGACGCGGGCGCCGATGTAGTCGCCACAGATTGCACGGATGTTGGAGTAGACTGTAGCGGGGACGCCACGGAGCGCGTCGGGCTGGGGCTCTTGACCCTCGACTCGGCGGGCTGAGGAACACAGGAGGGAAAAGTGTTAAAATATACAAGTTCGGGTCACTGGTATCAAACGAATTAAGAGACACAGGGTGCGGGAGGTTCGCGTTACCTTCTTGGACTCCTCGCTGGACGAGTCTCGTCGGATAGTGGGAGTGGCGTTGGTCGCGGTCTTGCGCGTCGCCCTGGGCGACTTCCTGGGCTGCTCCGGGGCGGAAGCGTCCAGGCCGCCGCGGTTGGCTTGACGGGTCTGCCTGCGCGTTGCAGGGGCCGGTGCGGGCGGCGCCGGCGGAGGCGTCGTCGGGGCTGACGGGGTGGCCGCGGCCTTCCCTGCCGCCGCGGGTGTCGTCTCCGCCGCCGCCGAGCGCGTGACCACGGCGACGTTGCGGACCTGGGGTAGGCAAGACTATGAGGGTCGTTAAGAATGCTCAAGGTTAGTGGCATGCAATGGTTGGTCAGCAAGGTTGCGGATAAAGAGGGCGAGGTACTCACCACATCGTCGATGACGTCGTCCACTGTGCTGCGAGAACCATCCTTCTCCTGCAGGCGCCTCGACTTGCGCGTGGACGCAGCTGAGGCCGCCGTGGCCGCCGTAGTTGTTGCCGTGGCAGCCGTTGTAGCCGTCGCAACGGTGGACGCAGAGGTGGTCGAGGTCGTAGCGGCCAGGGTAGACGTGGGCACCACGACCACGGGCTCCTCGCGGGTCTCCACAACGGGTTGCACGACGGATGACGTCTTGGTGCTGACGGTCGGCTCTTTGGTGGCCGCGGCGACGGCGGGGCTCTTGATGGTCAAGATCAGCCGCGGGCGCTTCTCGTCCTTGTCTTCCTTCTTGACCTCCACGTCTTCCTTTTTCTCCTCCGTAGACAAGACGACCACTGCGGGCGCTTCCTTGGTCTTGTTCTCCTCCGAGGTGTCCCGCTTGATCTCATCCTTGACTTTGACCTTGTCCTTGTCGTCATCTGAGTCATCTCGAAACTCGTAGACATCGGCCAGCTTGCGGGTCACGTTGTCGTTGGCGCCTCGGGCGCGGGTGCGTCCGCGGCGTGTGGCCACCGCGCTGGTCTTGGCGTCATCCTTGTCGGTCTGGCGCGCGCGCCGGGTAGTCACGCCCTGCTGCGGTGCGGTTGTCGTGGACGCCGCGGCCCGGGTGCTGACCGTGCGGCGTGTGTTGCGGCGCTGACCGCGTCGCCGCGCTCCCGCTGCGTCATCCTTGGAGTTGCCGTCCTCGTCGGAGTTGTCCTGCGCGTCGTGCGCGTCCGAGAGGTCGGCGTCGTCCTTGGACTCGTTGAGCGACGAGGCAGGTGACTTGGTCGCGTTGCTGTCGATGGAGAGCGGCCCGTGCAGCGAAAGCTTCTTGGACTCGTCTTCGGGGTGGTGTTCCTGCGACGCGCTGCTGGCGACGGTCGTCGTGCTGGTGGAGGTGGGCGGCGCAGTTTTGGACGGGTCGTCCCGCGGCACGAAGGAGTCCAGCTTGTCGCGGTTGAGCGGCGACACGGTGGCCATGATCTCGGAGACCCGCTGTGGGTTGGGCGATCGCACGGCGTACTCCTTGGCGAGGGGCGACACCTCCAGGGTCTCCGCCGCAGTGATGCTGGGGCTGCGCGGGGCAGGTGACCTCGGCGACATCGGGGACACGGATGAAGTGACAGCTAGCCAGCGCTCGCGCTCCTGTTCAGCCGTGAGCGACATGGCGTGCACCTGGTGGTGCACCCACGGGGGCTGCCGCGCGCCGTTGTCCTTCTCCTTGAGGGTCGAGTTGCTCAGCTTGTCTAGCCACGCGTCCGAGACCTTGTCGGGCACCTTGGCCTCCAGCCAGGGCATAGGCTTGGAGGCACGATCTTTGTTGGCCACCAGGTGAGCCAGGGCCTGGTCTCGGTCCACGGGCGTCGCGGCGAGCCACGCTTTGCTGTCTTCCTTCTCGAGTCCGAGCGGCCAGGGCTTGGGCTCCGCCTTGATGGGCCCGGCTTGCACAGAGATGGGGAGGGACTTCTCGCCAGGCAGCCACTGCCCCGCAGAGGGTTCCTCCTTGATGAGAGCGGGGCTGGGGCTGGGGCTCTTGGCCCTCTCCATGGGCTTCACAGCAAGCCAGGGCCTCTCCGGCTCGCCGGGGCGCTCCGGGTGCCAAGCAGAGCTCTTCTCCGCGTCAGAGGAGTTGGTGGTTGCAGTGTTGGTGGTCGTGGTGATTGACGATGTCGACGACGCCGCGGTGACCGTGGCGGCGGTAGAGGTCCGCGAATCGAACCACGCCTTCTCCCCGGCTTGGTCGCGGGAGACACGCGGGCTCTTGTCGCTCGCCTCTTCGTCTTTGGAGCAGAGAGCGTCCACCGTCTTGATGACGGAGTCGATGTTGACCTCTTTGGACCAGAACTCGTCCTTGGTGTCGATAGGCGAGTCACACTTGATTTGGCTCTTGAAGTTGGTCTGCACCTGGCGAATTGGGCCGGGTGCGTGCACAGGGGCAAGCACGGGTTTGAGCACGGGTGTCAGAACGGGCGTGTGCACCGGTGTGTGCACAGGCATGTGTACTGGTGTGAGCACCGGTGTAGGAACTGGTGCAGGTGACGGCTTGGTGTCCTTGACCACCTCGTCCTCCACGATGCAAAGAGCGCCCTCACCCTCGTCCTCGTCCCGGTCGCTGTCCGGAGCCTGCTTGGGGCTCGGCTTCGGGCTTCGTCGAGGACTTGGCTTGGGGCTGGCGCCGGATGGTGAAGCAATCGAGGTGTTGATGATTGCGCTGTCTGATGTCGGTGCAACCAGCGAGTTCAACGTGGGCGACATGGCTGCGGGTGACTGCGGCGCGCTCGGAGGGTGCGGCTTGGGCGATGGGCTCGACACCATGGGGAACGGCGCCTTGTTGAAGGCCGTGTTGACAGCCAGCACGCCGGGTTGCGGCGCGCGGGCCAGGCCCGCCAGAGTTTGAGGCAGGGTCGTGGGTGTCATCTGGTGCAGCTGAGGCGACCCCAGCTGGCCCAGGTGGCGGACGACAGGCTGTTGAGACGGCCGCATGCCGCACACCACGTTCACGAACCTCGGGCCGGTCGGCATCATGTGGGCCGTGTGTGGAGGCTGGACAGCCGGCCTGCAGCCCGCCAGGGCCTGCGTGCTGGTCATCATGGGCGGCGTGGCGGTGGAGGGCGTCACCGTGGTCAGCAAGCCCGCGGACGAGGCCGTGGACGAGAGGGTGATGACGCTGGTCGGGGTGGAGACGGGCAGCGGCATCCTCAGCCCGGGCGGCGAGATGATCTTGGGGGCCACTGTGCCTACCACGTGGTGGAGCTGCGGCAGCGGCTGTGGCAGCGACTGCGACAGTGCATGGGGCTGAGGCTGAGGCTGCTGCTGCTGTGGAGGTGCGACCGCGGCGTAGCCGGTTGGGCGCGGCGAAGCGCTCACGATGGCATGCTGAGGCAGGCCCATCCGGCTGGTGATGACGGGCTGCGGGACCACCCCGAGGCCGCCACGAACGACGGGTACCGGCACCGCCTTGGGCACCACCTTGGACACCACCCGCGGCGAGTTGCAGTTGACCAGGGTCGACGACGCCGTACTGGGCACGGCGCTGACCGCGGGACCGGTCGACTTGATGAGGGTCGGCGTCGTGGACACGGCCAGGTTCTGTTGTTGCGGTGCCGCGGTCAGGCCAGGGCGAACGGCGTGCACCACAGACGGCGGCTGCGGGTAGGTGGTGACGGGCGTCTGAGGGAAGGTTGTGATTGGTTTCTTGATCGGAGCCGTGGAGTTGATGTTGAGGTTGGGCAATTGCTGGTGTATCATGGGGTGGGCGCTTACGACCGGCACCGGGACTGGCTTGACCAGCATGGGCGCTACGACGGTGCCCTTGATGACTGAGCTCTTGGTGGGCGAAGTCTCTCGCTCGACCGGGGACTTGAGGTTTGCTACGTGGTTCGTATCTGTCTTCACAGGAAGCTTGACCTGCGGCACGACCGGGATCGGCGGCTTCAACTCCTGCTTGGCCTCGGGCTTCACGTCGACAGGCGGGACGGCGCTCGGGGCGGACACGACGGTGGAGACGGGCTCGGCCTTGGGCGCCGTCACGATGGTGGAGGTGACCTGGGCGGACACGGGCTTGTCGAACAGCTCGGGCTTCACCTCGCTGGCGGCCTTGGGTGACGAGAGGCGGGCCGAGGCGGCGGGTGAGGCGGCCGCGACGGGCACCGACGGCGCGGCAGGAGTCGCGGGTGGCGAGCGGGCGGCTGGTCGAGACATCGCCAGGTCGGAAATGCGCTCCATCAGCCCTTCGCTCGGCACCACTTTGGTAGGGGTCTCCGCCTCGTCAGAGGTCTCACGCTGCTGCTGCTGTCTGTTGAAGAACGACGCCGGCAGGTCCGGTGTTCTTGGAGGCCGGCTGAAGTCCATGGTGTCGGGTGTGCTGATGGAACGATCGAAAGAACGGTCCAGGGAGCCAGTGACGCTCGCGCTGACGCTCGTATCGGCATCTGCGTCGTCTGTGTCTGTGTCGATCTGCAAGTCGTTCTCCGACTGGGGCGTGTCCGGTTTGAGGCTCTCCACGGCCTGAGCCGTCTCGTCGTCTGCCGCCTCCTCCTCTTCGACCACCTCGTTGTCGTACGAACTCGTGTGCTCGCCGAAGTCCTCGCTGCCCCCGAAAGTCTCCTCGAGAAGAGCGGCGACCGCGTCCTCGGTCTCCTCCTGAGAGATGATAAGCTTGTTGTGGGCGTCCTCCTTGTGCATGATTCTGACGTCGTCCTGTCCCTGTGCGCGAGGCTGGTCGAGACGAGGCGGCGAAAACTGCTGCTCGATGCTCTTGACGGCCGTCTCGTGAATGTTCTGGTCGTCGAAGGGCATGAGCACCTTCTTGGCCGCAGCGGGCGACAAGCACGGCAGGCTGGTGGTGGCAGGGCTGGACGCGGACCCGGTGGGCGCAGCCGCGGCGGGGGCGGTGGTGGTGGGCGTCGACGCATGCGTAGGGCTGAGGCTGGGGAGCGACGGCATGGACAGGTCCGGCAGGTGCGTGGGGCTGTTCGGCGCCTCCGCATCTGATCTGACCTCGGGCGGGCTGGGCGTCGAAGTGGAGGCCTTGCGGTCCGGGGACGCAGACCCCTTGGAGTGCTCGCGGTCGCGGTGGTGGTGGTGATGGTGGTGGTGTCGGTTTTGCTTCTCCTCCTTGGACTTCTTGCGCTTCTTGCGCTTCTCCTTGTGCACCACCGCCTCGGCGCCGCCCGCCTCGCGACTCTCGTCCCCCTCCGTAAACTGGAACACGTCGAAGTCGTTGGCTGTCGGCGCGACCGGCCCCAGGGCCTCCTTGGCGGACAGGGGGTCGCGCTCCGCCTTGATGGGCGACAGGTTCGGGAGGTCGTCGTTGAGCAGCTTGGCCTCGAGGATCTTGCCGGCCTCGTCCAGGGCCTTGCGCTCGCGCCGCTTCTTCTCCTTGCGCTTGCTGCGCGCCTGCGCCGCCTGCACCTCCCGCTCCACCGGGCCCGTCGAGTCCGAGTCGGACGCGTACACCTGCGACACCTGCCACTTGGCCGGCATCTTGTCGTAGCCGTGGCGGTGTTGCGGGCTGTGGGCCGTCGGGCTGAGGGGCAGGCTCTCGCGACTCTCGCTGCTGTTGTTGAGAGCGGGCGGCGGCTTGCTGTTCTCCGAGTCCTCGGAGAGCGGTCCAAAGATGTACTCCATCTTCTCGTCCCGCTTGACGTTGTTCTCCAGCTTCCGGGTCTTGGACTTGCCTCCGTCTTCCTGGCGCTGCTTTCCCTCCTCGTCGTTGAGGAGCTTGCTGTGATTCGACTTTCTGCGCTCTTTCTTCGACGTGTGTTTCTTTCTCTTCTCCACACAGTTTGCCATGTCTTGTTTGTCGGGCATTTCTGAGTCCCCGTCCATCGGATCCTCGCGATGCTGTGAGCTCTTTTGCTTCTTCTTTTTGTTCTTGTGAGACTTCTTACGAATGCCATCTTTATCCTTAGAATGACCGGAAAAGTTGCAGTTCTCCAATGCTGGCGGGGGAGGCGTTCCTTCTACTGTTGCATCGTCCTCCGCGCCACTATCATGATTCTGCTTGATCCTCTTTTCCAGCTTCAAGCTCTCCATAAAGATCTTGGCCTTCGCGGCATCCATCTGCTGCTGGTGTTCTTCCTCATCGGAGGAGTCAGCAATGGCATTCTGTTTGATTTTGAATTGCTGAGTGTCTTCCAGTTCGGCAAAGCCCATATCAGCTTCACTATCGTCAGAGAATATGTTGGAGGGTTTAGGTCTGCGGTTCACAACCCTTTCGTCCTCGGAGGTGTCAGAGACGATGCGAGAGCGGCTGCCCTTCCTCGCCAATGCATTGAGCAAGGCTTTGGTGCGCGCTGCTCCCTCACTCTCTTCACGCATTTTACTCTTCATGCGCGAGTCTGATTCCGAATCGTCGTCTTTCTTGGAGCTGCTTGCTTTCTTCGGCTTGCTGTCAGAGCCGGATGATTCACTGGAGCTGGTAACCAGAGCCTTGCGCCGAGAGCTCTTCCCACGACCAGATTCAGAGTCCGAATCTTCGTCGTATGATGTCGAGCGTTTCTTCTCTTCGCGTTTGGCTCGTGACTGTTTCAGAGCAGAAAACTTTTCCTTCATTTTCTCCTGACGCTTCTCTTCTTCCTGTTTCTGCATGTTTTTGGTTGATCGGGCTTTCACCTGCGGAACCAACACATGCAAAGACAAAATTATAATAAGAGACTGCTTGATAAAGTTAAGTGCAAATTTAAATATTAAGTGCAAACCAAAAACCAAAAATACGAAAGCATCCTCACCTTATCATACATAGATATATAGGCTGGACCATCATCAACAATGTCAAAGATGGAGTGCTGCTTTTTAGTGGGTTCGTCATTATCATTAGAGCCATCAGTATCAGTTCCAGTGAGAAAGCTGGCTTCCCTTCTTCTTGCACTGTCTTTCCGTTTCTTTTCATCTTTGCAAAATTCACCACTGCTGCGTTTCTCTTTTCTGGGGCCCTTGCCTTTCTCATCTAGACTTTCACTGCTGCCGAAATCAGGGCTCATAGCCTGTAAACGAAAACATAACATAAAAATTAATTTATCTTACAAATACTGATGGAAATAGAATAAAATTTTGGCAACACAGAAAGAAAATAATACTAACCTTGAGTTCTTTGTTTTCTTGCTTTGCGGGCATCATTTCATCCTCGGATTCAATTTCCTCTTTCATGGAATTTATAAGCAGAGGAATCTTAGGCTTTTTCTTTTCCTTAGCTATTTTGTCCTTGTCATGTCTCTGGATGTTCATTTCTTCGGTGGAGTTGAGATGACGCTCCCCAGAACTTCTCTTGCTGCTGCCACTACTTCGGCCACTGTCTTTAGAGTCTCTGCGTTCTGGTGGTGTCTCGCTAACTGGAGCAAGTTTGATACGTTTACAGTCCTCAGGCGTACCTTCAACACTATCCTGAGAACTAACTCTTCTTTTACCCCCAATGGGAGCAGGCAAAGGTGCACTAGTCCGTTCAGCTTTTTCAAGACGCTCCTTTCTTTCTTTGCGTTCCTTTCTCCTTTCTTCAGAAGCCTGTTTATCCTTCCGACGGTCCATAGTATCTTCCATTTCAACGTTTTCTGAGAGAGCACTCTGAATTGCTTCAACACTTCTTTCTGAGGTGTCCATATGATAATCCTTGTCATTAGTGTCCTTCCTTCTCTCCATTAGGGAATCTGTGGAATCCCTGCGCTTCTCTGAGAATTTGTCAATATGGGACTCAGTATTTTCCTTTCTTTTATCAACAGAAGATTCAGAAGCAGTATGCTTATGTTCATCTTTCTTCTCAGTAGTGTCACGTCTTTTCTCAGATAAAATTTCACTCTTTCTCTCTGTATCAGCATGGCGTCTCTCTGAATCGTGATGCCTGCGTTCAGAAGATTGGGTGGAGGTTGAGTCTCGGGATTCTCTTCTTTCTAAAGAGTGCTGGCTATGACTATGGCCATCTCGGTGGCTATGGCCATGACTGTGGCTATGGTCCCTATGACTATGACTGTGACCATGACTATGCTTTCTCTCAGATGACTCTGTAGTATCTCTCTTTCGTTCTGGGTGATCTTCTCTCCGTCTATCATGCTCTGCAGTGCGATCATGCTTAGATTCTGAAGAATGTTTTCTGTCTGAAGAAACTTCAACGGAATGTTTGCGATCCAGAGGAGCATCAACTGTCTCTCTTCTTCTCTCAATGTTATCATCTCGCCTTTTCTCTGAAGGTGCGTCAGTTGTGTGCCTTCTTCTTTCAGAAGCTGACTCATGTTTTTCCTCTTTCTTGCGATCATCCCTTTCTCTCTGTCTTTCAGCATGCCTGTCGGTGTGCTTTTCCACATCCTTCTTCTTTTGCTTGTCTGCCTCTTTTTGTTTTTCATTTCCTCTCCTTCTTTCAGATTCTTTCTTACGGATGTCTTCTTCACGTTTTCTTTCCAATTCTTTATGACGTTCAAGTTCTTTTTGACGATCAAGCTCCTTAATCCTTTCTTGTTCTTTTTGTCTTTCCAGCTCCTTATGTCTTTCCATTTCTTTTTGCTTTTCCAATTCTTTCTGCCTTTCTTGTTCCTTTTGTCTCTCCAGCTCTTTCTGCCTCTCCATTTCTTTCTGCCTTTCCAACTCTTTTTGTCTTTCCAATTCTTTTTGCCTCTCCATTTCTTTTTGTCTGTCTAATTCTCTCTGCCTCTCAGCTGCCAGTTGACGTTCAGCTTCTTTTGCCTCTCTAATTCTTTCTTCTTCTTTAATTCTCTCCTCTTCTATTAACCTATCCTGTTCTTGCGCCTCAAGTTCCTTTTTCCTTTCAAGTTCAGTTTGCTTGTCACTTTCCTTATGCCGCTCTGATTCTTTAATTTTATCACATTGTTTCTCGGCTTCCTTGAGGATGGTTTCCTCTTTCAGCCTGTCATCTCTCGCCTTTTCTTCCTGCCTCTCCAACTTTTCAGCATCCTTCTTTTCCTCTTTCCTTCTTTCGTACTTATCAGAAGATGAGGAGCTTTCCTTGCGTCTATCAGTTGTTCTGTCATCTCTATGTCTATCACTTTTCTCTGAGGACTCCTTCCTCCTCTCAGATTTTTCATCTTTTCTTCTTTCATCTCTTCGTCTGTCAACATGTTTTTCACTATCTCTCCTATCTTCCTTTCTTCTGTCAAGAGAAACTTCAAGTGGAGAACCTTCTTTACTTTCTTTCTTTTCCGAATGATGTTTGCGAGATCTTTCTTTTTCTGAACCTTCAACATCACGGTCTTTCCGGCGATGGTTTTCTCCATCTTTGTTCTTTCGGTGTTCTCTACTCTCCATAGAGTCCGTTCTGTCTCTTCTCTTTTCAGAGTCTGGTTCACTATTTCTTCTACCACTGATTGAAGCAGGGCTATTCTTTTCCCTTTTGTCTTCATGCCGTGGTTTAGAAATTTTATGATTTTCAAGATCTGACTCTTTTTTGCTACTAGAACTTGTTGAACTAGCGCTAGAAGATGCAGACTCTCTTCTTGAAGGTGCTGAAATTTTGGCGAAGGCATCTGATGTCTTCTCTTTAGGGCTTAAAGTAGGTGAAGTTGATGGTGAAGATAACAATTCTTTCTTTAAACTTAATTTTTGCTGAATAGAACTAATTTCTTTCTTAGGTACTGGTTTGATGATGTCTGGTGAAGGAACACTTGGAGGCGAAGAAACTGGAATGGCATTGGTGAAGGTTGATGTTACAACAGTGGGGGATGCTGTTGTAACATTCAAACTTGACGTCATGGATGAAACTACACTTGAACTAGGATTTGCACTCACAGACGGAGTTGCTAATATTCTTACTGATTCTGCACTAACAGGAATGTTTCTACTTGATGGCGAAGAAGCACTTAGTCTTGTAGGAATGGAACTAACTTGACCGCACACGCTCACACTCTTTGGTAAAATCTCCTGTTTGGAAGAAGCTTCGAGCGCCACCGCACACGGAGGACTTGCCGCAGCACTCGCTGATAATCTTGATCCCTCCGGGGAAGCCAGTCCCGGCAAGGAAGTGGTGGACGCGGTGGATGCCAACGTCCGGGTGGCCTCAGGTGACGGCGTGTTACCAGAGCACGCCGTCACGGCCGTGGTGGGTGACGAAGAGTTGACCATCTTCAACCTCGGGTCCGACCCGGACACGCAGGCCGTCACGCCACCCGTAGTGGGAGATCCCGCTAAGGGCACCGCCGAACCCAACCGCGGCGACGCCAATGATGGTGCGTCCGAGGTGACCGATGACCCAGCCACACTCGCCGTACTGGTGGTTGTCGACGTTGTCAACATCACCAACTTGAGAGCCGGCGATGCCGGCCTGCTCGCCGAGGTGATGGAGACGGGCGACGAGGCAGCTGATGGTACTGAAGTGGACGGGGCCGCCGTTGTAACGACGCTGAGCAGGCCCAAGGTGGACGTGGGGGAGGCCGCGGCCGAAGTGGACGCCACCGACGGGGAAGGCTGGGCTGGCGGGTGGCTCGGGAACGGATACTGCAGCCCGGGAGTCTTTGGCATTGAGATCGACAGTTTGTTGTTGCCCGGCGTCGTGGGACTGAGGGCCTTGGGTGTGGTGCAGGTGGCCGTGGAGGTCACCCCGCATGTCACGCTGGCAGCCGAGAAGGGCGACTTGACGGTGGTGGAGGTGGCTGTGGCGGACGACGTGGCCTGCGCCGCCGCCGACGCGGACGGCGACGACAGCGGCGACGGGAAGAGGCCCGCCACGCCGCCCGCCTTCGGTAACGAGTTCTGGCTTGAGGGAGAGATGGGGCCCTTTCCACCCAGAGACATGCCCAGGACACCCAGAGAGTCCCCGAGGCCAGATATCCTCAAGGGCCTCGTCACGGGGACGAACTCTTTGGGCTCATACTTGTCACTCACATTCTCCAGCCGCTTGGAGTCTTCGTCGAAAACGGACCGCTTGGCCAGGACTAGATTGACGATCTCCGAGGGCTTCATCCCGGCCAAGTCCAAGTCTAGACACTTGTGCCTTGACCTAAGGCGCTCTGTCACCGAGTTGTCCACCTTGGACAGGGCGTCGCCACCCGACGCACAGTTGGCGCGCTTCCCCGTCCACTGCTCATACATCTTCTCCAGTGCCTTGACTCTCTCGTCCAAAGAATGGTCCGTGGTGGGAGAGTGCTTGGGCGAGTTGAGGTTCCCCGAGTCCGAATCCGAAGACGAGGATGAGGGTGCTGAGGGTGGCCTTGGTGGCGGCGAGGCCGGGGGAGGTGCCGGGCTTGGGTTGGGACTCGGCGGCGGCAAGGAGATGGGTTTGGGCGACGTCACCGCCGGGGGCGACGACAGGGAGGACAGCTTGGCAGCTGATGACTGTTTGCAAGGAAACTGCAACTGGGCAGCAAACCTGTTCACACACACAAAAAGGGAACAGTTAAGATTTGTCACTCAATACTATACACAGGCTACTGTTGTGGATGAATAAATGCTATGGTGCAGAAAATGATTAAAACACCAACCTTGGGAGGGGAAGTGAGAGAGGTCCATCATTTAATCTTTCCCTTGGCGCTCTTCTAGGTTCGCTAGGTAGAATGTTTTCTGGTCTCTCATCAAATAAAGGGGTTCCAGGTCTTGAATTGTCACCAGATTCGTTCCCACTGAGAACTGTGACATCAATTGAATTGTGATGGTGGTGGTGGTGATATCTTCTTTCATCACCTTCTGAAGTAGAGCTACCAGTTTTTCTTCTTTTACAAACTGGGTGAGGAGAATATATTGAACAGTGTTTGCCACTGTCTGTTGACTGTCTTCTCCCACAATGCTTTCCTGACTCCGATAGCCTTCTAACTTCAGACACACTTCTGCGATGATTGTTGTGTAGAGCATCACATATCACTTCACAATCATCCACCCGTACCTGCAAACAAAAGAAGAGAGGTCACTATAGCAGTAAGTCTAAACAGTAAATTATTGAAAAATATTGCATATCTACTCAAAATGCATACCCTCTTTCTTGGAAATGCTGCTGCTTCTGACCCTGATGAATCTCCATCATCCAGTTGATCTAACTGGTGCTGTATGTGTAACCTTTCTTTCTGTAATGTTCTAAGTTCACCCTGAGGAGGGTGAGGGTGGTGTTGGTGGGGATGATGTGGAGCATGGTGGGGACCATGCGGGTGTTGGTGTGGGTGAGTTATACACGGCTCACTCACAACAACACTCTGCAGCCTTTTTGAGTATTCACTCTCACTAGCGCCGCCACTTTCCCCACCTCCACGTAAACTGGGACTTCCTTCATAGCCATCCGAGTGACCACTACCTGCTCCACTTCCAGTAGAAAACTCATCATAGCTCCTAAACAATGTAAAATCAATCAATTAGATTTATTGAGATACTATGATAATAGCAAAAATAATCATGCTTACCTGTACCTCCGATCTGTGAATTCAGAAGCGCTGGGAGCATCGAAGAGTTCATATCTTTGGGAAGACCTTGGGGTTCTAGGTATTACTCTTGTGACACCAACAGGTGTGGATGATCCACTTGGAGTAACATTGCCACTGGTTGAGCCGGGAGTTCCACTTCTAGAGTATGAAGCTGTCCTTTGTCTTGGAGTGGTTGACTCATATCGAGAAAACCTTGCCCCAGCAACAACAGCTGTTTCAAACCTAGTAGCAGCAACCTCACGGGCACTGAAAATAAAGAGGATTGTTAGTACCCACAAATAACATCTCAATGAAAACTGCTCGATGGTTACCTCTGTAAGAATGGTCCAGTATGAGTGGGGAAGGAAAAGGATAAGGAGGGAGGATACGTACTGTGGAGTTTTAGGAGAGGTGGACACCCACCTCGAGTCATATGTTGCGTCCCTCCATGATCTGTCGGTTGATCCTTGCTTTTCTAAATGGACAAAAAATGCATCTTGACATTCTCTTGATGCAAAGTCCACTTGCAGCTTTCGGCCCCTTAGTGATACCCCTCTCATTTCTTTCACAGCCATCTGTGCTGCTAGCACCTAAATTAAAGAAACAAATAAAAGAACATAGGGTTTAATGAGGAGTAAATAAAATATTAAAAGGGGAGATGACACAAAAAAATAAAAATAAAACATACTTGTTCAAAGAAAATAAGAGCATATCCACGTTCACGGTCAACGGATACTTGTGTGATTGCACCAAATTGGTTAAACTGCACATTCAGGTACTTTTCTGGCACATTATCGGCCACACCACCAACCCACACACAATTTGTCTGCATTGACTTGCCAAAACCAAGTTTTATTCTATTGCTTCCTAGATGTTCACCATCTAGACTACGCATAGCTTTAACAACACTACCAATGTCAGCAAACTGACAAAATGCATATGATGTAGCTCCTCCTTGCTTTTTGATATCAATTTCCTGTAAATTAGAAAAAGATGTTTTTAGATCAAACTAAAGACGAAAAGGAAAAGAAATATAAAAAGATGAAGAATGCAATTAAATGTTGAGAGATACTTACAATAATTTCTCCAAATTGTTCAAAATGTTTCCTGATTTCAGATGGAGATATATCTTTTTCCAAATTACCTATGAATAACGTTCTAGTAGCTTTAGGGTGGTATTCATCTAATTCGGCTTCATAAGGTCTAAACTCATTGTCATCTACATCATAACCTTGGTAAGCAGCTACTTCAATTTTACAGCCAAAGAACAGTTTATTGTGGGACTCTTCGAGGGCCTTTTCGGCATCCTCTGGTTTCTTGAAGCGAACCAGCGCATATCTGTCCTCCGCCTGACCAACTACTTTAACACATGTAACCTTCCCGTGTTTCTTGTATTCATGAAAAAGACCATCTTTTAAACTTGTATCTGTAAAACACAAACAAACATTGATATAAACAAGTTCATGGGTCAGTAAAATAGAGCAAGACAACAGATGTCACACACTTACCACTAGATCTGATGGGAAGATTTCTTACACATATAACGAGTGGCCTCGATTCATCACTATGATTTGAATTATTCTGGTGAGGTGCGCTCACCGTTGACTGCACTGTGCTACCTAGTCTGCCAGACCCTCTCACACTGCCATGGTGACTCGAGCCGACCGATCTGAAGGGAAAAAGAGAGTAACAGGTTTTTAAATTTGTGACCAAAAATAAAAGCAACAACAAATTAAACGTCAGCAACATTTTAAATTTTTCTAATGAAAATGAATTTGAAAGAAAAGACTGATTCGTCTCACTGACCTGTGTGGAGACACAGACTTGTCGGAGCCCGGGCTGGAAGAAGCCGAGCTGCAACTGCTTGCGCTCGAGTGGCTGGACGACTCGCTGGAGTGAGAAGGACTCCTGGACCTGCTCCTCGACTGGCTTGACCTCGACTGGGAGCGGGAATGGGAGCCCGACTCGCTGCCCGACCTGCGTCGGAACATGACACGCGTCATCACCTCCCCTTCCCGGCTGTACAAAACGACACTCTAGTAAATAACACACAACACAACACAAAACACACAAACAACACACAAATAAAAAAAGAGTTACAGAGGGAAAGGTAGACCAACAGATAATAGATTAAGATTTCCCCCCCTTATTCGTTTCTTCTTTTTTTTTTTTTTTTAGTCTTGGAAGCTTTGCAAATTGAGTCATAAATATATCACAGATGATTTTACTGATGTGGAAACAAAATTGTTAGCTTTCTGCATCTTTCTTTATTATACTAGTTTCCATTTACTTTGATCATGTGACACTTCAAGCATATCCAAGGGGGAAGGGTAGGAACATAAATATGATAAGCGCAAGAAAGAAAACACAATGCAGCTAACCATGACAGCCACGGAAAAGTAAAATAAAAAGGCATAAAAGGTATGGTTTAAAGCAGCTTAAAGCAAAAATAACATTAAGATGGCCCAGCAAATTTTTTTTGACATTGAACAAAATGTTATAAATTAGAGGCCAGACAACTGCCAAAGAAAAATTAACACATGAGTGTAGTAAGCAAAGAACGCATTAAAAAAAATCTACCACTACAAGCTTTCACAAAACAAAAAGTAATGCCCTTCCACAAATGAACTTGAACCCGCCCGCCCCCAATGGCGTGAGGTCGGTCTGCGTAGCGGCCAAGGCCGACTTCTCGGTCGTACGCACTGGCCTACATTGATCCAGGTGCTATAAGAAGCATATTGCCTCCCCATCAAAAAAATGCCCCTTCAAATAAAAGCGAAATAGACACTAACCGCGACTTGGACGATCTCTTCTTGTGGACTTCCCTCCGAATGACGTCCTCCGTGTAGCCGTCGGCCGGCGCCGGCCCGGGCTGCGGGGTGTAGCGACTGCTCGGCGTGCCATCGTACGCGGTCCATGAGCCCGGAGGTGGCACCCGGTGGTGGGCCGCCGGCGACCTGCTGTAAAATCGAAAGAAAACAGAACTAACATTAGACATCGGCCACAGCAGCAGCAGCATCAGCAGCAGCACAAGACCACAACATCGAGCCATCAGCGAAGTGTTACCACGCAGTGGTGTTTTGTGGGGCGTTTGAAGCCAAGTGTTGTGTTTGCTCAGTGCAGCATTGTGTGAGTTTCAAACTGTGCGGAGTGTGGTGTGATTGGTGAATAAGGGACTGGGCACCTACATGGAGGACATGGAGGAACGGATTGGGAGGGGAGGGGGGGGGAAGGGGAGGGAAAGGAGAGGGGAACCCTAGCTCAGCTCCCTATCTCACCTCTCTATGACTGCGCTGAAGGGCGCCGCCGGACCGTTGCGCTGCAGCCGTTCCCGCGTCCTCCCCCGCTGAAAGGGCTCCACGTGGAAGGCTGCGTTTGTCCGCCGGAGGTACGCCGCCTCGCCCACGGCCACGGCCTCACCCGTCGCCCCGCGCCCCCCTCGCTCGTAAAAATGACTAGACCGATCGAAGGTTTGGAGGTCCTCTGGAGGCCTGCAGACAGACAAACAGTACAGGTTAGCCCTCTCCCAGCTCTTGATTGTTTTTATTTATTTATTTCACCGCTTTTAATCGTCTTTCTCGGTGAAAAAGCAGGCGTACAACAGATGTTTCCCACCACAAGACGAAAATAAGAGAAAGGTTATTTTGGTGGATGACGGGGCTTTCCACACGCACCCCACCAGGCTGCTGCCTCCACCGTGCAGCGTCCGATAAAGTGCCCAACCACCAAGCGGAATACCACCGCCGAATCAACCAAAAAGAGCCAAGATGAGCAGAGAGAGAGGGAGGGCGCGAGCGACGCTGGAGTAGGGGGTGAGTGGGAGCGCCCTGGAGGTAGGCAGCCTACGCGCCGCTCGGGCACAGCTGCAGCAGGGCGGCCTACCTCTCGGGGCCCGACCGACACGGGGGGTGAGCGCGAGCGCCCCAGAGGTAGGCAGCCTCCGAGCGGCCCGGGCACGGCTGCAGCAGGGCGGCCTACCTCCCCGGCGCTCCCCAGCGGCGACGCGCGGCCCGTGCGGCGGAGCGGCTGCACGGTCGCGGCCCTGGAGCAGCCCGGCCCGGAGCGGGAGAGAGAGGGGGACGTAGTAGGACCCCTCCCCTCCCCCAGCTGTTACGTTCACAGGGAATGAACAGTTAACTTTTAAACTTAAAGGCCGTGCAGCTTCGCATTTTGGTTTGACTTCTGCAGTTCCGCGCCAGGCTCATGCGTCTGGCCGGACATTTAATTCAGTCTTTTTGCCTCGCGCTCGGCGCACGGGATCCCCTATCCTATGGGTGTTGCGACACAACTCGCCCCCCCCCCTCCTCTCCCTCTTTCCCAACCACCCCGCGCAAGTCTTCGACGTGACAAGGCAGCAGCGATAAGGACACCGCTAAAGTCCCCCCAGCAGAGAAGAAGGCGCCAAAAAGCCGCGCGAGGGCGGCGCTGCTGTCCGCCGCGAGTGTGAAGCACACGGCGCGAGAAACATAGAGCCGACGACGGAAAGAATTCGCCCGCAATCGCCACAGCCGCGGTGCGGACAAGGGAGGGGATAGGAGGGAAAGATAGTGAGCTGAGCAGCACCAGCGACCCTGTACATTCCCAGTAAAAACCCCAGCGGAAGATATTGCCCACCGTTTCGTCGACAGCGATCGTTTTTATTTTGTTTGTTTCCTGTCTATATATTTTCTATGGTGCCGGTCTCTCTGGGGGGTGCCGGGCTATGGCACCTGTCCTGCTGTCCAGCCGAGGGCCGCAGCAGCAGCACAGTCCAGCAGCTGGTCGGCACGCACCCACGCCTCACGTGGCGCCCGGCCGGCCGGCCTTGCGAGGCACAATGCCTGCCGAAGCCTCGTGACGTTGTGCCTCCACGTACTTCCGTCCACCTAGTGGCTCACTTTTATTGTCACATTATATTTCGGCCGGCCGCGGTGGCGCATTATTTCAAAAATTCCTGTCACGCCATTTTCTATCAACGCGGCAGCATCTAAATTTATGTCACGTCATTCGCTCCTATCGGCCAAACGTCTATCGTCGGCTCACGTGACCCTCGGGGGGATGAGAGGAGTGGGGGGTTTGGTCCGCATACCGCGCGCCGCCCTGCTGCTCCGCCCGAGGTGGAAGACTTGGCTCGCGATAACGTCACGTTGGCGTGCTGCCGCGCTACGCCCCGCCACGCCTCGCCTGGCTGACCGGCGCAAAGGGTAAATATTTTTCAGGGCCAAAATGCCCCCCAGCGACGGGGCGCGCTTGCACGCCGCACATTTCCGTCCCGTCCCTCTCCCTCCTCCCCCTCTCTTTCCCCCCGACTCCTTTTCGCGAATATAAACCGGGCGGGCAAGCTAGCCGAGCGAGGCGAGCAACGACCAGCCAACCCCCACGGCGCGCAGACCAGAAAAAGAAAAGAGACCCATAAACTTAGAATCTACTAAATCCACCACCCTCGCGTTCCCTCCCGGCCGCCTGCGTCTGAGCTGAGCTGAGTCCGCGGCAGAGGCACTCTAACAGTCGAACAGGAGAGTTGGGGTGGATAGATGGAGAGCGAGGGGACAGGGGGAGAGATATGGGGTGGAGGGGGGGGGATAGAGGGAAGGAGAAAAAGGGGTGAATGTGAATAGTGCGGGGTGTGGGTGGGTGGCCATGGGGTGACGCAGCAGACGAATGAATTTCTGCCACTGCCAGTCTGCGCAATAGTGCTGTATGACTTGGGGCGAGGGGTGGACGGTCAAATCGTCTCCCAGTCTGAAACTCATTTGGTTGAATGAACTTCTTGTGAGGGGGGGGGGAGTGGAGAGTGTATGATATGTATATATGGGTTATTAGCGAAATGAATGGGTCATGTGATGAATCGTGATGAATGATGGTTAGTTCGTGCCGTGTGGATGAGGATGTGGATGTTGTCGCAAGTTTTACGACAAAAAAGCGCTCTAAGCATGCAACACCAGCAGCAGAACCCGACACACAAAAACTAAATAATCATGCAACAAAAAATTTACGATAGTCGCACACAACGTCGTTAAAAAGTGGAAACGTCGAGTTGCACTTAAGAGTCAATCGTTACTACAGTTGTTATTTTGACAATAACAGTTCTCTTTACAGTGTAATGGCAGAACAAAGTGGGGAAAAGGAGCGGGGGGAGAAAACCGGCAACAGCCTGTGCGCGGAACGCCCCGCCCCACCACCACGGCTCCTCTAAGGCCCCACCGAGCCGGCAACGCCGCCAGCCCGGCAAGGCCTGCCGTTTGGCTTAGTAGGAGGAGACGAAGATTGATAAAGCCCTGGCGGGGACTCTGCCGCGCCGCGCCACACCACGCCACGCCACGCCGCGGTTCGCTATGCTCACACTGCTGTTACGTCAAAATCACGTGCGGGTGCGCCTTTAGTCTATTTCTGTCCCCGCGCTTCGACCAGTCACAAAAAAGCACACGTCAGAATTTTCACGTCAAGTAGAGCGCAGACAATATTTGTCTGCTAGTGCGAAATTTCGCGCGCACTGCGTGGCATACCGCGGGTGTCGTGTGCAACACCGCCCGTCTATTCGCCCATACCGCAGACTGCAGTGCGGCGGACAACAGCTGGTACAGTATGGGCGGCCCAAATGGACAAAGCTGTAGACATAAAATAAAATAATGACCGACATTGACTGCCGCTCGAAATAAGAAGTCCAAAGGGCCACGCCACGACACGACTGATTCAAGAGACTACTCGGGACGTCTGTCCCGGCGGAGCGGGCAAGGGGCGGGTTGGGGCGGGGGGTCAACACTCTCTGCATTGAGAGCGACAGCTGTTAGGCGATTCGGGGTCATATCAATTGACTGGGAATGAGTCGGTCGGGGTACATACGGGGCCCTCATACGGCGGGATAGGAGGACACCCCATCAACTGCTTTCGTTTGGGGGCCGAGTGGAGCAAAGTGTACAGCCAGAGGTGGACAGGCGGACATGGAGGGAAAAGAGGGAGAGGGAGAGGGAAGGGGGGGGCGTCCACATCGTGGAGTAGTCAATGGGTGTAAGGAGGTCGTAAGATGAGGGGAAACAGTGAAGAGTCGCTTGAGGGAAACTACTCGGTGCGCCAGCCGCACCCACATTTTCCTCAGTGTACAACAAACTTTTTCTGTCGCGTGTTCCGCGTGACGGACAGGGGGGGAGCGCACCGCAGACAGAGCGAGACAGACGGACGGGTCCGCCGCGCAAGCCCGACAGACAGAGAAAGATGGCGTGTGGCTCTGCAGGCTTCGCGACGTGGAATAAATAACGGCGCACCTTGCGCCAAAGGCAAGGCCCGCCTGCACTATGCGTCGCCCCACAGTCCAAGGTACGCGCTGGTGGTGTGGAGTAGGGTGGGGCGGGATGTGGCGCGGCGGGGTAGGGCGGGGCAGGGCGGGGTAGGGGCTGCGCCACTGCACAGAGACAATCTACGCGAGCCATCAGTCTGAACGAGGCACACGATGAGAGAAGAACAATGAAAGAACCCCCGCCGTTTCAGAGTGCGTACACTGACTATGATGAGCCAGGGTGGCAGGCTTCACGTGGCCTCTTTTCACCGATACAGTGAAAAACGTGTGTATCTGTTTTACAGGGCAAAGTTTTCGGTGGGAAGTGATTAAAGTGACGATTTCAAATTGTACAATCACACAAATGAGGAGGACAAAGTGTATCACCTCGGTATTTCTCGCAGAGTAAAAATGAGCTGTCGTAGATTTACCACGTCGATTGTAAATCGTCCAAATCGTTACAAAAAATATTTTAAATTTAAGAGATATTTTTCACAGTCAGTCAGCAGCCTCGCAGCCTCGGCTCAGCCTCAGCGGGCGGGCAAATTTGATTAGGGAATCAGGCGCGACCGATGAGCCTCGCCACGCCTCGCATCGACTCGCCGCACATCCAGAATTGATGCGCTGTGGTGGACGTGCCACACTAACCCGTCGCAACGGTCAAGTACGACCAGTCAGTCCATACAAAGGTGCGCCTGTGAGCCGCGCGTGTGTGTGAGTAAGTGATGTGAAGTGACTTTAGTCGCAAACACACCCAGAAAAATAGGAGTAATTAAAATAGTGCCACGACGTCTTGTATCTTATCTGTCTTATTGTCACACTCTCCGTATGGAGGCCTGATGGGAAGCGAGTGGACTTGTTTCTGCCACGTAGATGTGCGATAAACACGAGTGGATGAAAAAGAGTCCCACATCTCACGAAATGATTCGAGATTCAGCCCCACAACACACACACCCACACATATACACACGTTTATTCACAGGCAGGTACATGAGGCACCAGTGAGGGCACATATGGGATCCATAGCCTAAGAGGCAGAGGCAACAACAACTTGTGCGGCCAGCAGGCGCGGCGAGAGAGGGGCTGAGCGCACGCAGGGCAGAACCGCACGGCTCGGAGTCGCATTCGAGACTGGTCTGGGGTCTGGGGCCGGGACAGGCCAGCCTGGCTGCCAGAGCCGCGAGCAGCCGCGAGGCGGGGCGGGGCGGGGCAGGGCGGAGCGGGGCGTAGCGGGACGCG